CCCCCCCCCCCCCCCCCCCCCCGGCTACATGCCTGGCCTCAGCCGCTGATGTGCTAATGCTTTTGCAAGGCTCTCGGGGGTTGCTTACGCGCGGCTGCTGCGGTCCCGAACCCCAGTTCTGGTCAGGCTCTGGATACACTGTGCACGGTAATTCTCATAATGAACCTCATGGGTCACGTCCTTTAAATCCTGCATATGGGTTTGGATCAGCATATTTCGGAGCTTGAGGAAGTCGCAGTGAGCAGAGTTTTCCACTAGAAGTGACAAAACGAAGTCATCAGTCATTTCCTTTGTCAGCATCCTCTACCGAGCCTTGTATTCTTAATACATCTTACCTTCCACTGTTCCCCAGGTATATTGCCTTCCTCTGAATACTTTGTCCTTCAGCTCTCGGACCACCTGGTTAGATCCAATGACAGCAAAAGGGATGCTGTGCTGCAGGGAGGACACCAAATGGACCCATAAGACTCAATGCCCCTTCTCCCCACACTGCTAAACATCCCTCCCACCCCATAGTGCATCTTAATTATTCCCCGTTCCATTCTCACCTTCATCTCAGCATCCTGAGCTTTGAACTCTTCGTCCTCATCTGAGTCACATTCAGGGAACTCATAAAGGCGGATGCCGTTTTCTTCTAACTCCTGCCGGATCTGGGCACCCAAAGGAATGGAAAGAAATAACTAAGGGCCCTTCTGCACAGCCATATAACCCAGAATGTCAAGGCAGATAATGCACAATATCTGCTTTGAACTGGATTATCTGAGTCCACACTGCCATATAATCCAGTTCAATGTGGGTTTTATACAGCTGTGTGTAAGGACCATGAAAATAGCAATGAAATGTAGTTGTGCAGAGAATGGGATCAAAAGGGTAATTAGGCTAATCTAGTCACCAACGTGGTATAATGAATAATAAACTAAGGTTTCAGGAGGCAAGGGTTTCAATATCCACTCATTTGGGGAAACCCACTGGCCAACCTTGGGCAAATTTCACTCTCTCAGCCTCAGAGAAAGGTTAGAGATATCCTTTCAAGCCAAGTAAACCATTATAGACAGCTTTGAGTCCCCTATGGAGTGAGAAAGCTGGGGTATTAATGAAGTAAATAAATAAATAAGCCATCAGTAATTTGACATTAGGACCCCCAGGTAGCACAGCAGGTTAAACCACTGAGCTGCTGAACATGCTGACCAAAAGGTTGGCGGATCAAATCCGGGGAGTGGGGTGAGCTCCTGCTGTTAGCCCCAGCTTCTGCCAACCTAGCAGTTCGAAAACAGGCAAATGTGAGTAAATAGGTACCGTTCTGGTGGGAAGGTGACGGCGTTCCATGCAGTCATACTGGCCATATGACCTTTGAGGTGTCTATGGACAACGCCAGCTCTTTGGCTTAGAAACGGAGATGAGCACCGCTCTCTAGAGTCGGACATGACTAGACTTAATATCAAGGGGAAACCTTTACTTTACTTAATTTGACATTGACTAGAAAGCACATATAAGTGAAAAGGCACCAGAGATAAATGTTTTGTCAAAAGTTTACCATTAAAGGCAGAGTTCTCATAGTGGACCCCTTCGGATATTTTGGACTTAAGCTCTCAGCATCCATAATAGCTGGCCTTGTTGCTCTTGAAGTCCAAAACATCCAGGACGCCACTGCAGTAAGTTACCTGTTTCGGGAAAGTGGGTTCCCATCAGGATAGGTCTGTGGGCCTCCAACACCTCCTTCCATTAACCTCACCTTCTCCTTCATATGCTGTACTTCTGTTGGAGTCAAGCTGTCCGCTTTTCCGATCACGGGCACGATATTGACTTTGTCATGGATGGCTTGAAGGAAAGCAATGTCTAGGGGGCGAAGACTGACACAAAAGGAGTGAAAATCAGAGACATGGTATCTGCTTCCAAACCATCTAGGAAACCCACTTCTTACTCATCTTTCCCCAAGTTTGTACTGGAATTTAGATTTGTCAGCCTATTTTTTGCATTAAGTTGAGATGAGGATGTTTGGACATGTTGGCATGCTTCCCAAATCCTTAATTTGTTCCAAATTAGCAGGGAGCTTCCAAGATTGAAGTCCACCAACAGCTTCATTAATCCCACATCCCCAGGCTGGATGTTGTTGTTGTTTATTTGTTGAGTTGCTTCCAACTCTTCGTGACCTCACGGACCAGCCCACGCCAGAGCTCCCTGTCGGCCGTCACCACCCCCAGCTCCTTCAAGGTCAATCCAGTCACTCCAAGGCTGGATAATCAGCAGCAAAGGCATTTTGTACATGCTCAGTAATACTTTTATCCTCATTTGACCTGTCCTAGTGTTGAATTAAATGCTGAATATAAATGTTATGTCAAGGCTGCTCAATTTTTTTGGAGCATACAAGGAATCAGTGAGTGTGTGTGTGTGTCAACTGTAAAATAAGATGCATGAAGCTGGTCAGGCAATACCTGGGAAGCAGGCTGAGCCTGGGACTTTCGGATACTGTTACATTTTTGTTCAGGCTTGAGCTATGTAGGTGCTCAGAGAGAAAAGGAGAGAGAAGGAGAGAGAAACAGAGTTTGGAGTGTGCTCTTGCTTCATGAGCTGCTGAAGGAGTTTATCGACATGGACAAGGAAAGAGCATTTTAAATCTCTCATAAAAGGACATTACTAGATTTTGATATCTATGCAACTAATCACATTGTACATATATTGTTCTGAACTTTGAAAAACAAACTACTTGTTCTTTACTGTTCATCTGTGTGGCATATTTTCTTTCTCTGGCAAGGCAGTGTGTGGTCAAACGTGAACTACACGTGGTTTATTTTACATTACGCCACAGAATTAAACTCCTGTTATCTTTCATTCAGAGAGCTACGGATCATTCAAGAAATATGTACTATTGCTTGTAGATATCCTACCCATGTCCAAAAGGTGATAAGACATATAGACAGCAATGGACACGCCCATCCTGAATGTTCTTACGGTCCAAGCCACTCTCATCACGAAAATACTGCTCAAATTGGCAATCGATGTAATGGCCAATTGGCTTCCAGCTGAAAAAGAAAAAAAGGGGATTGAAATTGGGAGAAAGCTTCCAAACCCTTATCAAAATAAATAAAAAAGTTCAATACAATGGACCCTTGGTATTTCCTGGTATTTTGGGTCCAGGATTTGACATAGATATCAAACTCAGTGACTGCTCAACTCCCATAACATATAATAAAAATGATAATAGTAATTCAGGAAGAAACATGAGCAAACTATAAGTCCAGATAAGAATTGCATATTCAAAATCTAGAATCTTGAATGTTTCTTTTTATTCCCACAAGCTAAAGAGGCACAACCACATACCCAGAGCCCCCCTTACCACTCAGTATTGTCCACTGCGTCCCCAAATCCTGGAGTATCGATCACTGTCAGTTTAACTTTCACTCCTTTCTCTTCAATATCGATGGCATGCTTGACAATTTCCATAGTCTGGGGAATCCTCTCTGAGAAATCAGGAAGATGGGGAGACATTAGTCAGGATTAGAGTCTCCCAATCAGGTTCCCTCTCTTTGTCTCACACCATGACAGCTGTCAATCACTCGACTCACCTTGAGCATCTGGAAGCACACGATCTTTATACAGATCTGTCAAGAAGAGGCTGTTGATAAGAGTGGATTTTCCAAGTCCTGATTCTCCTGCAAAAATAAATGACTGTATAGTCAGCCCGCCACATCCACTGAGGTTAGTGGCACAGGAGGGTCAACTGTTTTGATCCTAGAGCACTTTCTCTAGGCATTTCTCAACCTTCCTCATGCCGCGACCCCTTAATACAGTTCCTCATGTTGTGGTGACCCCCAACCATAAAATTATTTTTGTTGCTACTTCATAACTGTAATTTTGCTGCTATTATGAATCGAAATGTAAATATCTGATATGCAGGATCTATTTTAATTCACTGGACCAAATTTGGCACAAATACCCAACATGCCCAAATTTGAATACTCGTGGGGTTGGGGGGGATTGATTTTATCATTAGGGTGCTGTAGTTGCTGGGATTCATAGTTCACCTACAAAGAGTATTCTGAATTCCACCAACGATGGAATTGAACCAAACTTGGCACACAGAACTCCCATAACCAATAGAAAATACTGGAAGGTTTTGGTGGGCATTGGTCTTGAGTTTTGGAGTTGTAGTTCACCTACATCTAGAGAGCACTGTGGACTCAAACAATGATAGATCTGGACCAAACAAATACTCAATATGCCAAAATGTGAACACTGGTGGAGTTTGGGGAAAATAGACATTGATATTTGGAATTTGTAGTTGCTGGGATTTATAGTTCACCTAGAATCAAAACACATTCTGAACCCCACCAACGACAGAATTGGGCCAAACTTCCCACAGAATCCCCAAGACGAACAGAAAATACTGTGTTTTCTGACACCTCCTTGTGACCGCCCCCCCTCCCCCAGAGGTCTCAACCCCCGGGTTGAGAAACACTGGTTGAAGCATTTTATACCTTGTTCTTGAGAGCTGGAACGTCTCAGACTTAGGTAACACATTTTTAAAATGCGACAGTCCTCCAATTACACAAATAATTGGATCTCACTGAAACAGATTCCCCTCAAAAATATGTATTTTGGGATGTAAGCCCTTCATAAAGACAAAAGTGTGTGCTTCACGTAATTCATAAAAGTGGACAGCCCTAATTTTGCAAAGATAATGAACGACCACTTTAACTGAAATCAGTACTTTCCTATTTGGTCTTCAGGTCGGAGGAAACTTGTTCACAGCTTGCTCCTGACTGCCAACTCTTCATGTTGAGAATTTCTATTGTCCGTTGGTTGTTGTAGGTTTTTTGGGCTATATGACCATGCCCTAGAAGCATTCTCTCCTGATGTTTCACCTGCATCTATGGCAGGCATTCTCAGAGGTTGTGAGGTCTCACAACCTCTGAGGATGCCTGCCATAGATGCAGGTGAAACACCAGGAGAGAATGCTTCTAGCCCGAAAAAACTACAACAACCCATTGATTCCAGCCATGAAAGCCTTCAACAATACAATCTATTGTTCCTTAATGCTAGTTTGGAAATCTGACAACGCTTGCTAGGATGGAGAAAGTTGTTGTTTCATATCCTTACCTGCCACCATCAGTGTGAAGTCAAAACCCTTCTTCACAGACTTTCTGTGGACTTGGGTGGGCAGGGTGGCAAAGCCAACATAATCTTTGTCCTAAAAAACAAAGAAAGAGTGGCATCAGAGAACACTTTTCTGTTGGGAGATTGCTGGGCTATTTTCAGGGATGCCAACCAAGTAGAGGGAACTGAATGGAAATAAAGCCCCCCACCCAAAAAGAAAGTGGTAGGTGGAGATTGTTTTCTGGATTCTTACCATGATTGGCCTCTTGGTTGGATTGGAGAAATGCTTCAAGGAGGCCTATGCACCTTCTCGCTGACATCCCCTTCCTGTCGTGGTGAAACAGGAAGCCAATTCTGCATTTGTTATCACGGCATCTTGATCTCCCATTGGCTGACCCGCTTTCATTTCCCTGCTCTGCTTTCCACCTGTGGTTGGTTGGTTGTTGCAAAATCTCATGAAATGTCGCCCAGTTTTCAAGTGGTTTGGTGCCTGCATGGCTATCCCTTTTCCTTACTCAGATTCTCTCTTAACAAATATGTTAAGTGTAACGATGGCGCAGTGGGTTAAACCCCTGTGCCAACAGGACTGAAGACCGACAGGTCACAGGTTTGAATCCGGGGAGAGCGCGGATGAGCTCCCTCTATCAGCTCCAGCTCCTCATGCGGGGACATGAGAGAAGCCTCCCACAAGGATGATAAAACATCAAAAGATCTGGGTGTCCCCTGGGCAACGTCCTTGCAGACTGTCAATTCTCTCACACCAGAAGCAACTTGCAGTTTCTCAAGTCTCTCCTGACATGACAAAAAAAGTGTAACTTATCTTGTCGTTGATCTACCTTTGTGCAGTTTTGCCAATGGGAGCAGATTTGGGGTTCCATGAAAGATCTGTATAGGGTTCGTTGCTTTGCATTGTATGAGATAGAAAGAGGCAATTTGGGAATTGTTGCCTTCATCTGCCCAAATTATTTGGCTAGATTTGGGAAACATGAATTTAGGATAGAAGTGGGCACTTTTTCCTACTGTTCCCCAAGAAGCCAAAGATCTTGGTTCTGCTCTATTGGATAGAAACACACGTTTACTTGACAGTCTTTCAAATAGTCATACTGGACAGCTGACAGAGTTGAAACTGAGATGGTTCTTGTCCCTTTAATAAAGCTTTTCTCAACCTGTGGGGGATCCCTGTGGGGGTCGCGAGGGGTTTCAGAGGAGTCGCCAAAGACCATCAGAAAACATATATTTCTGATGGTCTTAGGAACCCCTTTGGCAGAGAATGCTGAATATCTCTCTGCCTGTCCTCTTCCTTTTTGGAAACAAACGGCAAATCCTCCCACCAAATGCCCTCCTCTGCAACCTCTGAGGTCTCACATCCTCTGAGGATGCCTGCCATAGATGCAGGTAAAACATCAGGAGAGAATGCTTCTAGAGCATGGCCATACAGGCCGAAAAACCTACAACAACCCAGTGATTCCGGCTATGAAAGCCTTCAACAATACAGAAAAATGTTTTCTGGTACTCCAAGCAGGAGAGGGGAGAGCAGGAGTGCTCAGCGCATGGCAATGTGATGCGCAGGCAAGGGAGAGCGTGCAAAGCTGGAGGGAGGCTTGCGCCAACAAGTCTCTTCAAGGCATGGGTGTTCTGTGTGGGAAGTTTGGCCCAATTCTGTCGTTGGTGGGGTTCAGAATGCTTTTTGATTGTAGGTGAATTATAAATACAAGAAACTTTCAAATGTCAAGGTCTATTTTCGCCAGATTCCACATTTGGGCATATTGAGTATTCGTGCCAAGTTTGGTCCAGATCCAGCATTGTTTGAATCCACAGTGCACTCTGGATGTAGGTGAACTACAACTCCAAAACTCAAGGTCAATGCCCACCAAACCCTTCCAGTATTTTCTGTTGGTAATGGGAGTTCTGTGTGCCAAGTTTGGTGGAGTTCAGAATGCTCTTTGATTGTAAGTTAACTATAAATGGCAGCAAGTACAACTTCCAAATGCCCTCCCCCCGCCCAAACCCCACCAGTATTCAAATTTGGGCGTATTGCGTATTTGTGCCAAATTTGGTCCAATGAATGAAAATGCATCCTGCATATCAGATATTTACATTACGATTCATAACAGTAGCAAAATTACAGTTAAGAAGTAGCAATGAAAATAATTTTATGGTTGGGTGGTCACCACAACATGAGGAACTGTATTAAAGGGTTGCGGCATTAATAACTTTAATATATAATAATAACTTATTTTTGTATCACGCCTCCATCTCCCTGAAGGGACTTGGGGTGGCTTCCCTTTATTATTCTTTATTATTATTATTATTATTATTATTATTATTATTATTATTATCACTACCTCTGAGGATGCTTGCCATAGATGCAGGAGGAGAAAATGCCTCTACAACATGGCCATATAGCCCGAAAAAACCTACAACAACCCAGTGATTCCGGCCATGAAAGCCTTCGACAATATATTTTTTATTTATTTACTATATTTGCATACCGCCTTTCTCAAGGCGGTTTACAGTTGGCATGGGGACAATCCCGAGATTCAACATAGGAACAGTGATCTAAATGAATGAAATGTTATGCCTGGTGTATGTCTGTCCCTCCATGCCCTGGTTGGCCTTATTAGACAATACTTTTTGCCTAATCATAGCGAAAGCTCCATGTGTAATGATCAGATGCCAACGTCTTCCTCTGTCTTGGGGACTTTGTTGATGTAACGTGGTTCCTCATTGCTCGGGGGGCCACCAGATGCGTGTTCGAGTCTTTCGCCACCCACTTTGTCAGTACAGGAAGAAAGATGTTCTGCAGCCTTGCTTTTCTCCTCCTCCCTACATGTTACCCCTCCCTTCTAAACCAGGCAAAAGAGAGAAAGTCACAATTTTGAAATTCGGAAGCAAGGCTCTGTCCTCCTTCCACTCTCCCCTACGCTCCTTTCTGTTCCACCTCTTGCCTCCAGAAAGTTAGACTCTGAAGCTTTTGTGCCACTCCACCATGACTGGTCCACCAGCACCATGGCATATTTGGATATTGATGATTGGATTAGCACTTCAAGGTAAGTCCATTTGCATGGGCCAAAATTCTTAGTTTATTAGAATCGTAGAGTTGGAAGAGAGACCACAAGGGCCACCCAGTCTGCCATGAAAGAAGATACAATCAAAGCACGCCCGACACTCTGGGCACCACAATTGAAGGGAGATCTTGACAAGCTGGAATGTGTCCAGAGGAGGGCAACTAAAATGATCAAGGGTCTGGATATCAAGCTCTATGAGGAGCGGCTTAAAGAGCTGGACATGTTTAGCCTGAAGAAGAGAATGCTGAGAGGAGCCATGATAGCCATGTATAAATATGTGAGGGGAAGTCATAGGGAGGAGAGAAGAAGCTTGTTTTCTGCTTCCCTGGAGACTAGGGCACAGAACAATGGCTTCAAACTACAAGAAACGAGATTTCATCTGAACATTAGGAAGAACTTCCTGACTGTAAGAGCCGTTCAGCAGTGGAACTCTCTGCCCCGGAGTGTGGTGGAGACTTCTTCTTTGGCGGCTTTTAAACAGTGGCTGGATGGCCATCTGTCAGGAGTGCTTTGAATGCAATTTTCCTGCTTCTTGGCAGAATGGGGTTGGACTGGATGGCACATGAGGTCTCTTCCAACTCAATGAATCTATGATTTTATGACCCAGGCTCTGTTTCCAAATCTTCAGGAATTGAGACTCCACTGGACTTCAAGGCAACATATTCCATTGCCAAACAGCTCAGTGTCAGGAACGTATTCCAAATATTGAGGTGGAATCTCTTTTCCTGGAATTATTTGCTTGCTTGTTGTATTTATATCCTACTTTTCGTCCAATTTGCTCACAATGGCTATATGCATTTTTATCTTCATATAGATACATATGGGATAAATGAGGCTAAGAGAGACATTACTGGAGGGTTGCTCAGGCTGGGTCTACACTGCCACAGAATGCAGTTTGGAACTGCATTATATGGTCAGTGTAGACCAGGCATGAGCAAACATTGTCCGTCTGGGTGTTTTGGACTGCAACTCCCACCATTCCTAACAGCCTCAGGCCCCTTCCTTTTCCCCCTCAGCCGCTTAAGCGGCTGAGGGGGAAAAGGAAAGGGCCTGAGGCTGTTAGGAATGGTGGGAGTTGCAGTCCAAAGTGGAGTTGTCTGTTCTTCTCCACAGTCACAGTTATATGGCTGAGTGGAAACTATTATAGAACCAGGTCCTAACTATTGTTCCTAGTTGGTGCTTCTGGTGTGAGAGAAACTCGCTGTCTACATGGACGTTGCCCAGGGGACACCTGGATGTTTTACCATCATGTGGGAGGCTTCTCACATGTCCTCACACGAGAAGCTGGAGCTGACAGATGGGAGCTCACCCCGCTCCCTGGATTCAAACTGCCGACCTTTTGGTCAATGGTCCCGCTGGCACAAGGGTTTAACCCTTGCAATTTCTCAACTCACTCCTGACATGGCAAAAAAAAATCCCTAATTGTTGAACATTTCTTAAATGGGTTGTAGTTTTTCGGGCTATACGGCCATGTTCTAGAAGCATTCTCTCCTGACGTTTTGCCTGCATCTATGGCAAGCATCCTCAGAGGTTGTGAGGATGCCTCAGAGGTTGTGTAGTCCTCACAACCTCTAAGGATGTTTTGCCTAAGATGTAGGTGAAACGTCAGGAGAGAATGCTTCTAGATTTGACCATATAGCCTGAAAAACCTACAACAACTCAGTGATTCCAGCTATGAAAGCCTTCGACAATACATTTCTTAAATGGCAAGAAAGAAAATCTGCTATCTGTCTATTGTATCAGGGAATGGTGAGCAGGTTGGAGTTTTGGAGCCAGTCATGTCTGGAAAACGTGCAATTGGGAAAGTGCAAGTAGTAACTGGATGAAGGATTCAGGGAGAGTTGTGGTTACAGAAAAAAACGTCTATGGGAATGGTTGGCCTTTATTTACAATATTTTCCAATTTATTCTGGAATCACTTCCATATGTTGTTCTTTTTTTTTTTGACAAAACCAAATAGATTTTTAATAAATAAAATAAAAGCTCTGCAGGGTGAGCACATGTACATTCAAAAGTCCCACGTTTGATCCTTGACCTCTGTCATTAGATCTGGGAAAGACCCGTGTATGTAACCTTTAACTGCTCTTTCAAGTCAAAGTCAGAACCATTGACTCATATAAAGCAGTTTCCTATATTTGGCTTTCTACCCACAGAATTGTGTCAACAAATTTACTCGAGACACACATTTTGCCATTATTTGCACGCCCTCAATTGCTCCATTGGCAATTTTACTTCCGAGTTAATGTAGATGCTTGATATTTTGGGGTCTCCTTTGCGAAGGTCCAGCAGAATAGAAAAGATATATTTTTAGATATATCTCACAACCTCTGAGGATGCCTGCCATAGATACAGGCGAAACATCAGGAGAGAATGCTTCTAGAACATGGCCCAAAAAACCTACAACAACCCCAACATATTTCCGATGCTCTTATTTATTTATTTATTTGTTTGTTTGTTTACTCTATGGAAAGCATTCTCAGAGGTTGTGAGGACCTGAGTTCAATTGTGTGGCTAAAATGTTAAATATCCACCACTAAATAACTACAGATATGTCATTTGATGAGAAAAAAATGAATTAAAGCCTCTATATTTATATATTTATCATATATTTATATATTTATCATATATATAATATTGAATCCAGACAAGACAGAGGTACTCCTGGTCAGTCGTAACGCCGAACAGGGCATAAGGTTACAGCCTGTGTTGGATGGGGTTACACTCCCCCTGAAGATGCAGGTTCGCAGCTTGGGAGTGATCCTGGATTCATCGCTGAGCCTGGAACCCCAGGTTTCGGCAGTGACCAGGGGAGCATTTGCACAGTAAAACTTGTGCACCAGCTGCGCCCGTACCTTGGGATGCCTGACTTGGCCATGGTAGTCCACACTCTGGTTACATCCTGAATAGACTACTGCAACGCTCTCTACATGGGGCTGCCTTTGAAGACCTCTCAGAAGCTTTAACTAGTCCATCGGTCGGCAGCCAGGCTGCTCTGATGCTGAGAGAGGGTGACTTAAAGGTTCTGTGGCTGAGCAGGGATTTGAACCTAGGTCCAGAGCCAACACTCAAAACACTACATAAGCCCAATTATTCATGAGGTTCATAGAATCTTAGAGTTGGAAGAAACTCCCAAGGGCCATACAGTCCAATCCCATTCTGCCATGCAGGAACACATAATCAAAACCCTCCTGACGGCCATCTAGCATTTACTTAAAAGCTCCAGAGAAGGAGACTCTGCCACATTCTGAGATTCATCTGTACGCAGCCTTTCCTTCAAGGAACTCAAAGGGCAGTTTCATAGTTCAATGGAGATGTGAGCCTAGATATCCCAAGTCCCTATGCCACACAAAGTACTACATCACACCCACTCTCAGGAGGTAGGTGAAGCTCTTTGAGGGGAGTGAAAAGAGATGTTTTAGACTGCTTATGAGCCTAGATATCTCAAGTCCCTATGCCACACAAAGTACTACATCACACCCACTTTCAGGCGGTGGATGAAGCTTTTTTGAGGAGTGAAAAGGGTTGTTTTATATTGGGTACAGTTAGTAAGAGATATAACTTATTAGCTGTTCCCACCACGCGTTGCTGTGGCCAACCTTCCCTCCCTCTTTCTCTCCTCCTTTCTTTCTCTTCTTCCTTCCTTCCCTTTTTTTCTTTCCTACTCTCTCTCTCTCCTTCCTTCCTTCCTTCCTTCCTTCCTTCCTTTCTTCCTTCCTTCTTCCTTCCTTCCTTCTCTTCCTCTTCTCTTCCTTTTCTCTTTGTTCCCTTTCTTTCCCTTTCTTCCTTCTTCCTTCTCTACCTATTCTTGGACTGCAACTCCCAGCAGTCCTCCTGATCAATCTATCTACCTACCTATCTCTATCTAATCTATCTATCTGGAGAATTGCTGGGGGTTTCAGTCCAGGAATAGGAAATATACAGGGATTGGGATGCTCTCAAAGAAATCCAAGGAGAAGAAAGCTTGCATCTTGGAAGCAGTGCATTTGGATCATCCTCCTCTCCTAAAGGGCCTAGTCTAGGGATGCTGGGAGCTGTAGTCCGGAAGATAGTGTGGATATGCTATTGTGTGTTTTGTTTGCCAGGGGGAGTCATTTTGTGCATGCACTGTAGCGTCTTTTTACTTTTTTGACTTTTTAAGTACCTTCCACTGTGTTTTTTTAAGTGTTTTTATGAGTGATAGTCACTCGTTGCCCTAACATGTCTATTGTGTCCAAATTTGGTGTCAATTCGTTCATTGGGTTTTGAGTTATGTTAATCCCACAAACGAACATTACGTTTTTATTTATATACTAGCCGTCCCCTGCCACGCGTTGCTGTGGCCCACATGGTTCTGTGTGGGAGGTTTGGCCCAATTCTATCGTTGGTGGGGTTCAGAATGCTCTGTGATTGTAGGTGAACTATAAATCCCAGCAACTACAACTCCCAAATGTCAAGATTCTATTTTCCCCAAACTCCACCAGTATTCACATTTGGGCATATTGAGTATTTGTGTAGAGTTTGGTCCAGATCCATCATTGTTTGAGTCCACAGTGATCTCTGGATGTAGGTGAACTACAACTCCAAAACCAAAGGACACTGCCCACCAAACCCTTCCAGTATTTTCTGTTGGTCATGGGAGAACTGTGTGCCAAGTTTGGTTCAATTCCATCGTTGGTGGGGTTCAGAATGCTCTTTGATTGTAGGTGAACTATAAATCCCAGCAACTACAACTCCCAAATGGCAAAATCAATTTTTTTAGTGAAGGACATACATTGGTTGTTAGGTGTCTTGTGTCCAAATTTGGTGTCAATTCGTCCAGTGGTTTTTGAGTTCTGTTAATCCCACCAACTAACATTACATTTTTATTTATATAGATATGTCTAAACATTGTAAAAGGCACAGCTATTTGGCTGCTTGGGAAAGTTGGCTGGCTTTGAGGGTGAGAAAAACAGAGTACTTCCTCCAGCTGTGGTTAAAGTTAAAGTTGGAGTCAAAGAAGAGGAA